GTGTGTGTGTGTGTGTGTGTGTGTGTGTGTGTGTGTGTGTGTGTGTGGTACTACTACAGGGGTAGAGCGGTTTATGTTCTCTTTGGCTCTGCTCCTGGCTTTTCTTTTTATGAAATATTCATCACGTTATTCTGTGTGTTTGTTTCAGTTTCGGCCAGCTCTGCTTCAACAAACGCACCTTTGATGTCTGCATGTTGCTGCATTAATGAAACCTAGATAATGAATGAATTACACATCTAGATTGAGCTTTCCCTGCAAACCTGTGTCCTGAGCTGTTCCTTTAAGAGTAGTGTTCCTTGCAGAGCTAACGTCATTGTCCACTGGTCTTGTTCATTTTTTTTTTTTCCCCCCTCCCTCCTAGCTCTCAGCAGTGACCTTGGGAAGCAGACATACAGTCTACACACACACACACACTAACAGATGTGAGCATCCTCTCTGATATATACACACACACACACCACAGGTACGCTCACACAGACAGATTAATGATTTCTCTCACATATTTTTCCTTCACCTCCCTCTCTCTCCTCAGCTCTTCTTCTGCCGTTCTCTCTCTTTTATCCCTCTCCTCTTCATGTTTGTTCTCTGTTGTTTGGTTCTCTGCTCCAGATGCAAACAACTGGACAGCTGCTTTCTGTAAATGTGTGTGTGAGAGGAAAAGGCTTGCGTTGTTCTTTGGTGTTTGCTGTAAAGTTCTGCTTATTGTTGGGCTGCTGGAGTGTAACACACAATCACTTGTACTCGATAACGAGCCGGGCATGTTCAGCCCTTGACTGCAGGTATCCGAGCTGCTCTGTGAGTGTTTTGTATTCAGTGCCTGACTGAACCAGGATTATAGAAGATTACAGCACTCTCTTTTCTCAGGGCGAGTACAGCAAGATGTGCTCCAACAGTGAGGTCGTTTGGTCTTTCCGGTTCAGTCACTAAGTCATTATTTTTTAACGACGTTAGATTAGGCCTCATTCTGATGTCGTTAAATTTTATATGGATCTATGCTCGTATTGCGCTCATGTTTATACTCAAAGCTGTGTAAGAGCATTCACAACAATGGTCTTCAGGGACATTCTTTGGTAAAATGAATTTCAACTGTTCGGTTTCTATGATATGATAATTCCCTTTATAACAGTTATTATCAGATCTGATGGAGGCACCAAGCAGTTCACTGATACATTTACTAGAAATGATTTATCAGCAGAATGTTATCCGAAGAGGTAAATAAAGCAGGAAAAATAACTAAATCTGCTTGTAAAATAGTTGCAAGCAGGCTAATTATCAGAGGATCGATATAGCAACAAACTACTATTACCTATGTAATGATATGATGACGTAATGACTGATGAAGTCACTCTCCCGCTGTGTGTGTTGTAATCTGAGTTTATGGGCTTTGTTTACACGGTGCATGTGAGCCCCTGTGTGTTTGTGAGTTCTCTCTTTATATTTGTGTTTGTGCGCTCACATGCCGGCTGTGTCTGTGGGTCAGCTGAGGAAGAGATTATGCAAGTTGTGCGATTGTGTGTAAAGCACCAGTCAGCAGATAACTTGGTTGTGATGCAAGCACAGTTAATATACAGAGTACTCTAGAGACGGAGTGGACGTAATGATCCAGAAAGAGAGTTAAGAAACGGACGGACGTAGAGAGGTCTTATTGAGGTCAGGTAGAGCCGCCAGAGGATGTCATGACATGAACTCGGCCGGAGAGAGTGGAGGATGTGTTGACGGGAGGAGGGAAACTCGTCATAGAATAAACAAGTGGTCACAGGGGCCGCACCAGAGACCAGGACAGAGACAGGCCTGATCTAATAGGGACGTGAGTATTATGAGGGAGAGAGAGGACGAGGCTGAGAGAGATAATCTGAGCAAGAAGTAGATGAGGAGACTTACTGCTTTTAGCCAAATACAGTGATGACAGTAATGATAATTACAAATAATGATGTCGGCTTTTTAATCTGCTAAAATTGCGGCTCTTGAATAGCAAACGAGATGCAGTATATTTTAGATGGATGTAAATAAACAGTCGTAATCTGTTGTGTACATGATTTTTATTGTTACTTGTTAGTATTCATTCAACGTCTTCTGCATGTGTGCAGCAGTATCGGCCCATTTGAAACAAAGCCCATTGTCACGTTTACCCGTAGAAGTAACCTAAACGCTGTTGGTCATTTGTGCAACGTGCGCGGTACGCTGAGGCAAGGAAGCACTGGTGCGCCTCGAAGAGTACCGCTCAGAGGAAGTCTGTCACATTTCCTGTTTCCTTCCGTTTGTCTTCACTTATCGTCGGAGTGTGTGAGCGAATCGCCGACTGTTAAATGCTTTCATTTATTTAATACCTCTCCCGTGATAGTGAGAGAGTGTTCCCTTTGCTGACGACGTGGGAGTTATTCTGCTGTTTCATTATGCACCGTGTAAACACACACTGATGAAGAGGAGGCAGGCGCTCATGAACACATGCAGTCGTAAGTACGACTACACCGGCTGAGACACACACACGCGCTTGTAAGCATGAAGGCATTTGCATCCATGTGTGCACACAAACACAGTTTCCTCTCAGTATCTAGGTCATTGACTCGGTGAGACTATTTAAAGTTGCGATGTGTGAGAGTGAGTATTTCAAGCCTTTCGTCATCATCGTCTGAGGAGGATATTACAGATGCAGTGAAATGAAGTGAACGAACGCACCTCATCTGTGCACGATGATTTGGTTTATTTAGTTGATTTATGTTAGATTGGATGAACACCAATAGGCAGTTATTCGATGCATGTAATTAGACCGATTTGCAAGTGAACATGCATGAGCTTTTTTTAAATATTTATACAAAGCTCATTACTGCTGACAAGACAGTATGCTGACTTTTAAAGAGACCGACTCTACAGTTTGTCTTCTATGTGCAGTGAGGACCGGTTTGCGTCTCCCACTGAGTAATAACAGAATGTTCTTCAAACTACGGCTGAAGCAGTTAGTCGATTCATGGTTAAGTCCATTCGGCAGGTGATGAATTGACAATTTTGAATCTTTTATGAAGCAAACATGTTCAACATTTGTTGGTTCCAGCTTGTGAAATGTCTGGATTTGACGCTTTTCTCTGTTTTATATCACTTTTAATGAAATATCTTGGTGTTTTAGATTATATTGTTTGTTTACATTTTGTGAATAGTTTTTAAAAAAATGATGTCGGCTGATAACGATTTCTTTTGTTGAAGTATTTTAACTTAGCTAAACGTTACAGTGATCTGTAATCCAGTTGTTACGGCCATTCTCTACTAATTATCCAGCCTGTATAAATAACCAAGGTACTGGACCAACAACAATCCCTTATTAGAAGTAACACACACACACGCACGCACGCGCACCATAAGCTGCAGTCCTGCATGATTGCCCTCTGAGCAGCTGTTTTGGGATTTAGTGTCTTGTTCAAGGACTCACCTGGGAGCCTCAGAGCACCTTCCCCTTCAGTCTTTTTACAATCCATCATTTCCATCTTCATTTCTCCTCCTTCACCTCCCATCCTGTCTAACCTGCCCTCGTCTCTTTTCACACTCCCTCGCTCTGCCTCCCTCCTTTTTGTCTTTTCACTTTCTCTTATCTGATGGATCCTACTCTGTTGTCCTCTTCTCCTTCATTTTTCCTGTCCTTGCTCTGTCTTTTATATTCCCAAAAAAATGGTATCTTCATTTTCACCTGCGTACCCTCTTTCCCCCGTTGCTTTTCCCTCTGTTATTTCCATCTTCCCCTTTCTGTCTCTTTGACAGCTTGTCTTCCTAAACTCTCTCTCTTTCTCTCCATCTGTCCCTCTGTCCTTCCCTCCAGTGGATCCTCGCACTCTCCTCCCTCTGCTCCGTCTCTCTCACCCTCTCTCTCTCTGTCTTTCTCTGCCTTGTTGTCAAGTGGTGACTCACTAGAGGCGTGCAGCAAAAGATCTGGCCAACACACACTGTCACACACACACACACTGTCACACACATACACACACACACACACACACACACACACACACTGATCAGCCAAGAGTACAGCATGCACACACAGACACACAAAGACGCTGTTGAGGGCCAAGGGTATGGGAGACACACACACACATACAGACACACTATGCTCTGTCAGCCAAGCAAAGAGCAGCAAACAGTCTGTTGAGTCATGCCAGTGGAGCAGAAACATCAAGTGAAGCCGCCCACACACACACGCACACACACGCGCACACGCACACACACATGCACACACGCACACACACACACTATTTCTGTTTTGACACCCAGTAAGATTAACAGCTTCCATGTCAGTGTCTGGTTGTTTTTTTTATTATTATTCCTCTGGATTTTATTGCAGTCAAACAATACTAAATGCATTTGAAATGTGTAAACATTTATACTTTACACTGCAACCTGTACCGCTGATTGATAATTGATTGCAGTGTAACCAATCTCACATTGCTGCTGTGGTGTTAAATTAACGTCCCGATGTCCTCGTCTAATGCTGTGTTTCTCCTGCTGCAGGTGAAGAAGACCTTCAGTAATGGAACATACAGAGCCGGGGCAATGAGACAGATCAGCCTGGTGGGAGCCGTGGACGAGGAGGTCGGCGATTATTTCCCAGAATTCCTTGGCATGCTGGAGGAGTCGCCCTTCCTGAAGGTGAGTCGGGACGGGATGAACAGCGGTAATTCTACATAGCAACAGAGTGCTGCGGGATGGGCGAGTGACTGAGGTATGAACTTGATGCGACCGAACGTTTAAATGCGTTTACACCTACGTGACTGTTTGGAAACAGAACAGATGGAAAAAATGCTGCTCGACACAAACGTCAACGACCCGCCTAATAGTCTAAGTGACGGCTGTTGAGTTGTCAGGTGTGTCAGCGACTTGATGCAGCTTCCAGCTTTCCGTTCAGGAAGTTGGCTCTCTTGTCAAGTGTGTGTATGTGTGTGTGTGTACTTGAGATGTGCTAACTTGCTTTGATTGTTTGCCCCCCCTCCCCCTCCTCTCTCTTCTTCTGTCTGGCTGCAGCGGACGCTCCCGTGGGGAACCTTCTCCAGTCTGAGGCGGATGAATCCCACGGAGAGTGACGACGGTCCGATAATGTGGGTCAGACCGGGAGAACAGATGATACCTGTAGCCGATATACCAAAGTCCCCTTTTAAAAGGAAACGGTGAGCACACCACGCTTTACCGAACACACCGATAAAACACACACAAAACCAAGCCAGACAATATTTTTGATCCTCCTTAAACTGCAATGAGGCAGAATTAGCCGGGATTTTTGCTCTCTATGAATGTTTGCACAGGCTACAAGTCTCTGGTGTTTGTGTGTCTGTCTGTGTGTGTGTGTGTGTGTGTGTGTGTGTGTACCTTATTGAGCCAGCCTGCCTCTCTACTCTCCGCACAGCCCACGAGGACTGATTACGGGGGAAAAAACGGTAACAAAGCACGCTCGCACATTTGAAGCAACAGCCGTGGTGGAAGCGTGAAGCTTTGTTGTAGCGGAGCAGCGCCGGCCGAGGCAATTACACCCTCTCTGTTTGTGTCTGCCACAGAGTCATTGTTGCTCACACATAAGCTCCGTCTCACAAGCACGGGGTTTCTGTGAGCGAGGCCATTAGAGAGAGAGAGAGTGTGTGTGTGTGATGTGTGTGATGTGAGCGGTATGTGGCTCACCGCTCAGATGAGATCATCGTTGTGTTAATAGAGTCGACATCAGATGCTACTTCACGTGGCTGCCAGCCAAGTGCGGGATAACACACACCGCACACATTCAGCAGTTATTTCTCTCCCGTCTCTGCTGATTGGTAGTCGCATCAATAGTAATATTTTGGGATTTTTAAAAAATCTATTTCTGATTTTAGTGCAAGAATGCCCAACATTCACTGGTTCCAGCTTCTGAATTGTGAGGATTTGCTACTTTTCTATAATATCTTTGGACATTTGTTTTGACAAAAAAAAAGAAGGCGTCACCTTAATAACCGTGTTTTCTATAAATTAATCCAAGAGAGCTTCATTCATTCAAACGTTCCTGTGTGAATAAAAGTGGAAGCGATAAAGAAAGTACAGTCACTCTATCAGTAGTCGGCACCTGAATCTAGCCTGTCAAGACATAAACACGTAAAGCATCGGTGGGTGCACAGTGTTAGACGGGGATGGCTTTAAAGAAGTGTGTGTGTGTGTGTGTGTGTGTGTGTGTGTGTGTATGCTGTCAGAAGCACTTGTGTAACAGCTGGGGCTGAAGGAATCTGTTTTTATAGAGACACAGATGGATAGAGAGAGGCGGTTAAACTATTCTCTTCTCGTCTCATCCCATCACTTTATTATACATCACCATGATGTAAACAAAGTGATCTACAAACCAAGATGCACTCTTCTCTTTCTTTCTCTGTTTTTCTTACGGTCCGTCTTCTGTTTCCTGCTTTAAGTTGATTTATTGTAGAGTTACGATGCCGTTATTTTCAGGAACTAAAGAAAAAGAAGCACAGACTCGGTGCGTGCGTGCGTACAGAATTTGACAAGGAAAGAAAATCAGTTTGTCTGAAAGAAATACTGTGACGAAGTATCGGAAGAGGACGTGATGTCATTTGTTATTTTGGCTCGTGTGTGTGGTTTCAGTGAGAAGGTCGAGCTGTTGTGAGACTCTGATTATGGTGGTCAGACGATGAAAAAAAACCAAACCAAAGTACTTCAGCTCGTAGTGAAGGAGCGCCACGCTGCCAGAGATTTTTACAATAATTGCAGAGCAACAGCAGCAACCTTGGAAAGCGTCCGTCTCAAACGGGACAGACTGACGCAGAGCGCGCTGCTCCTGTCCGGATACAAGCTGCATGACAGACGACCGACGAGCGGAGTCCATGGAGAGCCGGGCGGCGATCAGTAAGACGTCAAACCACAGCCACAGCTCTGTCTGTTAATCAGGTGGTTGAGCCACATTTTTTAAGAAAACACCTTTTCGTCGAGAGGATTCGCTACTTTTCTCTATTTTGTATCATAGTAAATTAAATATCTTTAGATTATTGTGGTTGAGCAAAACAAGACATTTAAATCTGGACTTGTAACAGCGTTTGTTGTCAGAGGACGTTTTCCCCTCCGTCTCTCCTTCCTCCCTCTTTACACTCCCTTTACCGTCTTATCCCTCCACTCCCCACCTCTCCCCCCCCTTCTTTATCCCTCCATCATCTTCTCTTCTCTCTCTCTCTCCACCACTTTATTTGCCCATAAACGTACAGGAATCCACCTGGACGACTTGGTGCAGAGACGGAGAGAGAGAGGAGGGAGACGGTAGAATTTAAATATCGCTCTAGATGTGCACGTTCAGCACTCCTCCCTTTACCGCCTCTACTTTTCAGTGTTTCACTTACCGGCTTTCCTGGTTTTACATTCATTACTGTCAGCCTGTAGTCAGCTCACACACACTGAACTGTGTGTGTGTGAGAGAGTGTGTTTTCATCCCACCCCCCCCCTCTACTCTCTATTTTCCTCTGCTTCTTTCTTCCTTTTCCACCAACTCCTGCCTCTCTGCTCTGATCTCTGAATGAATGAATGAATGCACAATTAAGTGTTCGACACGGGTAGTCTCACTGCTGTTCTGTCTGTGTTACACTCTCGAAGGAATCTCTCACAGACTCTGTGTGTGTGTGTGTGTGTGTGTGTGTGTGTGTGTGTGTGTGTGTGTGTGTGTGTGTGTGTGTGTTACCACTCTTGTTTGAATCTGACTGCAGCTCCAGTGTGAGTCACTGATCCAGTAGTGAGCTGACTGCAGTACTTCTATTGTTTGGCAACGGCGCTCATTTTTTTTTTTTCATGCTTCTCGGTCTGTCTGCATGAAGCAAAACCATCGTCGTGTTCCAGCACTGTACGTTTCATATTTTAAAATGCTTATTTTATAGAGGATATCACTGATTTCCAGTTTTTCGTCCTCTTGTCCCTGTTAAGTGTTTTGTGTTTTGAAGAATTTAAATAAGACGTTGATTATGTTTTTAATGTGCTGTGGAACATCTAGTTAGGACGTCCACATTCGTTGAGTTTCAGATGTTTAATGATGTCCACTAAAACTATGACTGCAATTAACAATTATAATCATTATTTATTGATTGTTTTCATAAAATGTGAGAAAATAGTAAAAGAAAACACCTGGTGTATTTTCCTATACTCACGTTTACCCTCAGTTTATGTCCAAAGGTATTTAATTTACAATAAGATAAATTTAAAAAAATAAGCAAATTCTGACATTTAGGAAATAAGAACCAACACATGGCATTTGGGCTTAATATATTACTTCAAAAGTATCAAACAAAAATTTATTTTTATTATTATTTGATTATCAAAATTGCCACTAATAGTTTTAGCCCTGGTTTGCTGCAAAGCGCCCAATAATTGTTGCTGTTATGTAGTAAAATTACAATTCATCAGCATCTACTTTGATATTGGATTAATTTAATGATAAATGAAGTCTGGTGCTTTTATTTTGCCCCAGCAGACGGGAAACAAAAGAAATAAACAAAGCTGCCCTCTCACCTTGTAGTCCTATTTAGTCTTTATTTAGACAGCAGGGAACTAGAGACGGGGAATCTCTCTGAAGAGAACCACAACAAGAGTCTCCACACAGTTCTACAGTGTTTATTATCTGTCCTGCCGCAGCTCCACCAACGAGGTGAAGAACCTGCTGCAGTCGCTGCCGAGGGCCAGCGAGCCCCGAGAGATGCTGTTTGAGGACCGGACCCGGGCCCATGCAGACCACATCGGTCAGGGCTTCGAACGACAGACCACAGCGGCAGTGGGGGTGCTGAAGGCCGTACAGGCCGGACAAAGGTAGGAGGTGGCGCTACGTGTGATCACACTGTACAGGTAGTAAGAGATGTGTAATCCTTCTTACTCTGGCCCTCCCTCGTTCTCAGCTCGGAGCCTCCTCGTGTAACCAAAGACGTCGTGTGTTTCCACGCTGGTGATTTCCCTCATGTGGTTGAGAGGCTGCAGCTGGATCTATACGAGCCTCCGCTGTCTCAGGTGCGTACATTGCACACACACAGAAGGCATTGAGCTGCTTATACGGTAGAGAAGACAGTAACGTACTCTTTATTATGTCCCAAATCAGACGGGGTCTTCCTCAGTCTTTAATTAATCACTTTCTGTGTAACACTGACTTTAGGTGTAAAGTTAAATTCATCTGTGGATGCTGCCACATGGTGGAGCAAAGTTGAACTGCAGACAGGATGAGTTTAATTTAATTCAATTTAAGGATTTCTGGTCCATAAATATGTATTTACTGTACTAAAAGGTTGTACAGAGTAATTAAATATATTATTCTTTAGGCTTAATTTTGGAGCGTACCCCCCCCCCCCCCCCCTCTTTACAGTGTGTGCAGTGGGTCGATGATGCCAAACTGAACCAGATGCGTCGCGAGGGCATCCACTACGCCCGCATCCGCCTGTGCCACGACGACATCTATTTCATCCCTCGCAACGTGGTCCACCAGTTCAAGACCGTGTCATCCGTCTGCAGCCTGGCATGGCACGTCCGCTTAAGACAATACTACGATAGAGAGGAGGAGGAGGAGGAGGAGGTAGAGGAGGTGAAGAAGGAGGAGGAGGAGGAGGAGGAGTTGAAGGAGAAGGAGAGGAAAACGGCGGAGGAAAAAGAGGAGGAGAGGAGAAAAAAGAAGAGCGAGAAAAGAGTGATGGAGAGGATTAAGAAGGAGGTTGGTGTGGCAGAAAACGGGACGTTGCCGGCGGTCAAAAAGGAGGAACGGGATCATCATCGCCCGCCTGTCTTGTCTCCGCCGGCTCTCTCAGTGGACTCGAACGCGAGCAGCGCTCGAGACAAAGAGGTGGACAAGGAGAGGGTGAAAGTAGGAAAACCCAAACGGCAGGATTCACCTCCTGCAAAGGTGAAAGCAGAACTTCTGGTGCCTCCGCTCTGCAAGAACAAATCGCCTTCATCACTCCCTCCTGCGTCTCATCCTCCTCATCAGAACACAAAACCCAAAGCCGCATCGTCAAAGCACCTTCATCATCATCACCACCACCACCATTTGGACGGTAGAATGATGTCCTCCTCTTCAGCTCCTAAGTTGCCCATCTCCAAGTCTTCCTCTTCTTCAGCCGTCGCTCCTTTGCGCTCCCCTTTAGCTCCTCCATGCTCTACCTCTTCTCCATCTTCCTCCATGTCCACCTCGGCTCCATCTCCCCTGACTCGTCCCAAGCCCGCAGCGGACTCGCGTTTCTCCACGCCCGCTCCCTCCAGCGTGTGTTCGACTTCTCGGCAACCTCCCTCCTCTCCGTCGGACCGTCCGAAAGCCTCACCCCGCCTGAACCCGGACGTCCCGTCGGACGCACAGACGCCGTCGGACGTTCGGGCGCCACGCGGGTCACCCGCCGCGGACACGCAAACGCGCACCTGCGTGAGTTCGCAAGCCGACACTCGGACGCATGCGGCAGCTCGTGCGGCAACAGACTTGTGGACGCAAGCGCTCCACGAGAGGTGGGGTCACGGCGCCAACGCCAGGACGCCCGCGGAGCCGCAGATGCGTCCGGCGCAGGACCCCGCGAGGCAAGGACTTTACATGCAGCAATACGCGCCCCAGCATCTCCCGCCTCCCCACCTCCCTCACATGCTCCCGCCCTCTTTCTCCCCTCTCCTGCCACACTCCCATCTCCTTCATAGGCCGCCGATCCTCCCCCCGAATCCGCTGTCCAGTCATCCCGCTCAGCCCCAGCCTCTGAACTCGTACCACAGTCAGAAAGCGGTTCACATGAGCCAGCTGCACCTGCATCCGCCACACCAACCGAACATCGGCACGCCGTCTCAGCCGTACTACCAGCCTCCCAACACCCCCCTCGCCGGCTCCCAGTCTCTCCCCCCCCACCTCTCCCAGCACCACCAGTTCGCCCCGCACGCCAACGCCTTCTTCCCCCCTCAGCATCCCCACTTGTCCCCTCACCACTTCCTCCCCCCTCAGTCTTACCTCTCCCAGCCCCCCAGCCCTTACCCGCTGCAACCGCAGTACCAGCCTCCGTCGTTCCCTTACCCCCCTCCTCCTCCTCCTTCCTCCTCACCGCCTCCCCCTCCTCCTTCTCTTCCGCCTCCTCTTCCCCCTCAACCCTCCCCTTCGGACCTCCTCCCGCCACGAAGCCACGACGAGCAGCAGAATCAGATTTTATAGACGTTTTTTGTACATAACGATGCTGTTTTTAAACGACTGTACATGTAGAAGGTTTTATTTTGGTTGTGATGTTGTAAAAAGGAAATGACGAGGAAGACGGTGTGTACCGTGATGAACACAGTTGGACTTTATTCACCTCAGACCTCTTGACTGGACTGATTTATATTATACTGAATGCTTTGTGGGTCACAGATATTGAGAAATGATTGCATTTATTAGTAGTTTTGATATTTCAGTCATGTGTGGCGGCACCAGTTTGACTTTGAAGCAGATAATATTCAAGCTTACGGTTTGAGCTCCCCATTCTGCCAAAGTGCTGTCTGCTTCTGTTTTTTAAGTGAGTCATCAGAGGTAGGAAGGAAAAAGAAGTAATTATTGTGTCAGATATTTATCTACAAAAGGTCGTGACGACGACATTTTTGTGAAACTTGCAGCTAATGCTTCCATTTTCATGGTTTTTTTCTAGTTTATACTTTGTGCCCAAGACTGTTTGTGGAATAATGATATACACACTATTGTATTGGTGTAATGTTACGACAGTTCCTCTACTAGATTGTACGGATACACCTTCAACATTACAATATAGCGCAGTATGTTCCTCTGATATTGTACTTTGAGCAATAATCTGCTGAATATAAATGCAAATGCATTTCCCTAAATCAGTATTTTTATTCTAATTTCAAAGCCATTGATAACAGGCCGGTCGTGTCCTATTCAATCATGGGATTTTTGTAATCAGTCCCTATGATGTTTGTGTGGTGTATTTAAAGCTGGAACTAGCAGCCGGTAGTTTCATAGTTACCACACAGACATCAGAGTCGTAACAATCTAAAAGAAAACAAATAAGCACATTTCCAATAAATGTCAAGCTACTCCCTAAAAGTATTGCGATTGTCTTGTCCCGGTAGCCCTGAACACCACAGCCGTAGCTCTTAGTGTAGTTTAGTGTCTGTTGGATGTGCACCAGGCTCTCTCCTAATTTTGGAAACGGCACTTGCTGTTCAGCCAAGGACACATTTGACCCAGCCAAGGCTGTGAAACAGACCGGCCTTCAGAGTCTCAGGAAAAGAAATCCAGTCAGGACACACATCCACGAATATACTGGTCTCCTAAAACACAATCCTGAATCTTTAGTTACCTTTTTAAGGTTACTGTTCAGGGATAAGAATAACTGAAATGGATGTATATCCACTACTGTTGATATTATTGAAGATACTAATTATGTCGGAGGATCAACGGGGCAATTTCCGGTTCTTCCGACACTATTAAGTTAATCATTCCGGCCTCAGACATCTCTGATACGAATGCTTTTATTCTTTATGGACACAGAAGCTACGCTGTCGAGAATTCTTTCCCAAAGCACTATTTTAAGTATTAATGTATTTATCTGAAGCAGTGTGGAGCGTCCTGTCTGTTGTAATGTTTTAGTTATCAACCAGGGACTGGAGTGACCTCTTGTTGTTTTTAAAAAGTACAATAAATTATTGAAATTCTGTGTTAGCGACAACTATGAATATGTTTTTCAGAGTGGTAACGTCTGATCTTAGATTTTCAGATCCGTCTCATTTTGATGTTGAAAACTTTTTTATTTATTATTTTTTGTCATTGATGTCATGATTTTACCATCACTATCTGAGTATAGCCCACATGCTAATGTAGCCCACAACATTTCCCCAGTGCCTGTCCTTAACTGTGAACTACTAAAATGGTCCAGAGCCGGAGCGAGAAGGAGTTTTGTCCTTTAATGGAAGTTTTTTGTTTTTTTTAGGAGTCCCAGATTTAAGTTTTCCCTGGAAAATGAGAGCAAAGCCTTAAATTGGTCTCTAAAGCTGCTGAAAAGTCTCCAAATATCTGCGGCCTAACTCGGGATGACTCGGCGAGACCGTGTCCTGAAAGCAGGCTTGTGTTCTGATGATTAGTTTCACCGCCAGCGTGGAGAATCTTGGAAAAATGAAACTTAAAACTTCAGCTCTCTTAGTCAGTTTGACTCCGAGGACTTCATTTCAGAGACAACTCTTCCCCTTGTGGCTTTGAGGAGAGCGAGGTGATATTAATAATAAGCACTCGATGCCAGTTGTAGAGCGCTCTGCAGCTCTTTGTATGCTTTTTGGGTTTCAGATGTTACAGAAAAAAAATGACAGGAACGTCTATTTTTTTTGTACAATTGTGACAAAATTATGGTTGAAAACAAGTTTTCATGGGCCGCCGTTTGTTTTCACAGTTTATTTATCTCAAGAATTTTTGTTTTTTTTCTGTTTTATGTCTGTGATTTGTAACTGTCAGCACTGGAGTGTACATACGTTTTGTAAAGAGGAAAAAGAACTTGTGGTGTGGTTTCTACTTTAAATATGAGCCTAGCTAATAAAAGGTTCAATGTATGGAACATGTTGTGGTACGACTTGATGTTTCCTGGTCTGCTGGTCGGGAAACGTCCTCAAAACATTTGATGCTTGTTTGAGGTTTAAAGGCACTCGGTGGAGTATTTGACCACTAGTAGCGCTACAGAGCAGTGTTTCTACAAGTGGAGTCCCTGATTCGTATGTAAGCCATCGGTTTCAAAAAACAAGTAAAAGCACAATTAGAATCTAAAAAATATAATAGTTCAAATGAGAGCTAAAATATACACAAATAAAATATGAAAGTACTATGAATTACACGCTTTTGTGTGGCGTATACCCGCCTTTGTGTTCTCGTTGTGTATTGCTGTTATGCAAGCCGCCCACTCTCTGCAGCAATGAGCTCAGCAGATTTACTCTGCGAGATGTGAGCAGACGACTCAAACACACCACAGTGCCATAGAGCCCCGTGTGTGTGTGTGTGTGTGTGTGTGTGTGTGTGTGTGTGTGTGTGTGTGTGTGTGTGTGTGTGTGTGGTCAACGGCGACTCAAAACAGCCCTTTTTAACTCACTTTTCATCCTTTCTCACACACAGCAAGAATAACAGCAGAGCTCAGCTGACCTTTACAGACTGGGGAGTGGGAGTGAGGCAGGAAGTTGGGGCAGAGAGAGAGAGAGTTTGGGAGGGAATACTTGGAAAACATCTTGAGATACACAGACTGTCATTGTACTAATTATACAGAAACGGTACTCATCAATAGTGAAGCTGTGAAATGAATGTGGGCTTAACTACATTTCCTAACCCTAAAACACTGAATACAGGAAGTATTAAGATCCTCCACAAGTAAAAGTGCCTTTACAAAAATACAAAAATACTTAATAAGAAAATGTATAAGTCCTGCAATAAAATTCTTACTTAAGTAAAATGATAGTATTATCAGAAAAATATACTTTAAGTACCAAAAGTAAAAGTATTTTATATAGTATATACTGATGTGTCAATGTGTACTTTAGGTAGCATTGTACTAGTTTGGAACTGGTTTTTACTCCTTTATATAAAGTTTGTAATACTTTTTTATTTTACTTTTTACTCTATTTGCTCTTTTTTAAAAAGATTGGGTCATTTCACTTCTTTGAGGTCAGTAACTTTACCTGTCAAATAAATGTAGTGTAGTAAAAAGTATTATATTTAAATGAAATTTAGTGGAACTATCAAGTAAAGAACAAATACCTCAAGATTGTAACTATGAAAAAGTACCTGAGCAAATGTACTTAGTTACCTTCACTACTGCATAGTACTTTACATAGTACTAGATGTTGCAGGACGAGTGCAGCAGGCTGAAGTTAATTTGCATTAGCAGCTAGCATGCTAACCCCACAACACTTTGCTTTATATAGCCGGTACCTAACTCGATCCTTCCGAGTATGGAAATACTTGAATGTGTATTTGCATGACTATTTGAGACAAATACCCACAGTTCAATGTACATAAATCCATTTATTTTTTTACAAGACATGCATTAATTATCAAACACTTTCAACTCATCAAATCACTTACTCCTCATTTCAACACAGTGCAAAGAATGTCTTTGAATTACTAATAAAAACAATTGAATGGCACAAAACAAATGTCACTCATGCACAGTGTCAGCCGTACCATAAAGTTGAAATATGGAACCATGATGACAACACTAGAAACTGCTGATAAAAGTATTGTGATGCACATTTAAACCCTAATAGTTAAACATAATATACAGTAAGAAACGTGTTCTTTATCTTCGTACATGTCAAAGTATGTTTCCTAGGGACCTTGGACCAACAGTAATAACAGCTCAGTGATCTTCATGGAGCACGTGATGATTTACAAAAGAGACCTTGTACAGAGCAGGGAGGGCAGCCCGCGGGAAAATGCTTTTATGTCCTGAACAATTTCTTAAATTATGCAATTGCAGCCAATCCGAGCCGTCGTCGCTTCAACACCTCTCAAGTTAATTTATAACTTGTGAAATAATATTTGGCCAACTAATCTCCACAGTATCAGGAATGAAAAGAAGTTTGTGCTTAAATACAGCCACACAATACCTGAAGCATAATGTCCAAGAGTTGATAGTCAATGTTATGAAACTTAAATACAGGAAGTCACAACTAAACACCACTCAGTTCCTCCCTGTGTGGTGCTCTGTACGAGAGCAGGCGTGCCAGCTTT